AAAAAAAAACATCAAAGTTATGATTATTTACAGCTCAAAAGTTTATTGAAACTGAAATTTCAACAACAGCGACAGCAAAAAAAAAAAGAAAAGAAAGAAAAGAGCTTATCCATATCCAATAAATTTTTTGTATTGATTACGAAAAAAGAAAAACAATAAATTTTTTTGTTCTGCTTTCATTTTTTTTTTTAATCTTTTTTTGCTTTGTTTTTTTTTGAAGAAGAAGAAGAAAAATTTTTTAATAATTTTTTTTCTTTTTGTTTTGGGTACTATTCAACTGTAAATTGAACCTTATTTTATCAATTTTTACCCAAAACACTGGTACAAATAAGTATACCACTTAAAATTCACCTTCATCTGCGGTCATTGAACTGTTGTCAATCAACAGATTCGACTAACTGACAAAAATAGGCAAACAAATTAAAACTGATCTGCTAAGCAATAGGTATAGTAAAAAAAAAAGACGTTCTGACAACAAATACCAAATATAGTTGTTGTTGACAGTAATAGAATAATAAAGGCAAATCTGTTTTTTCTTTTTATAATACTATAAATATTACTTATGTGTAAATATAAAGTATTAAAAAAAGTAAGATAATTTTTTGTCAAAATCAAAACAAAGAAAAAAGAGTCAGTTGAGAGCCAAAACAATCATTTTTCAGTTGAAATTACTCACCGTAATACTGCTATTCATTATTTTGCAGAGTTTTTGATAAAGATGGTAACGGCTATATTACGGCACAAGAATTTAAACATTTTATGACGACAATGGGTGAAAAATTTAGCGAAGAAGAAGTGGATGAAATTATTCAGGAAGTGGATAAAGACGGCGATGAACAGGTTAGTTATTGTCAGCCAGCACTTTCCTGTTTAGCAATGAACCCGATCAAGCAGTGATTTTCAAAACTACTCCAGTTTTTACAATATTCTTTAACAAAATTTAAATCCAGAAAAAAAAAGACAGACTTTGAATGAATTAGTGTATTTGTCAAACTGCTCTGTTACACCGTTTAGGATCTTTTAATTTTTGGCATTTGTTTTGGCTGGTTATTTCTCTGTAGACAAATGGCTAAAAATTATCGTTCTTTTTTTTTTGAGTATTGTCTACAGTACAGTTGATTTAGAGTCAATAATTTGCACTAAAACTAAAAATTTAATCATAAAATTTAAAAAAAAAAAAGAAAAAGATAACAATATATAAAAAATTGTCCGTACTTTAGTCGCTGCTATTCAGCTGCCTTTTTTTTTTTTTGTCATATTTGCTTATCATGATTACTGCTATTGCTGCAACTAATCTTCACATATAATAATTAATTGCAGATCAATTATGAAGAATTTGTGCAGATGATTGCACCAATTGTTCAGGACGGTAACAAGGATGATCCATTTGCTGAACCTCCAAAAGAGAGTAATAACAAGAAATAACACTGTCCAATTGCCGACTGAACAAAAATACAAGAAAAAAAAAAAAAACAGCAAAAAAAAATGAAGTTTTTTATTTTTTTTTTTTGAAGATTGTATTAAGTGTATAATTTATTTGCTTTTTACTGTGAAAAAGGAAACAGTAATTTTTCTTTCATATATATATATATATACTTTTTCTTTTTTATTGAAATTATTCGAATTGCTTCAAAAGCAATTCTTATTTCATCTTTTTTGGCACATTTCCAAGTCACATTCCATCTCTTTTTTTCTTTTTTCTGTTTAATATTTGTGAATATTGTTGATTAATCAGTGTGTGATTTGTTGAGCAAACAGACAGCACAACTATCGTCCCCGAAATAGTTAGCCATTAGGTATTCGTCTGTTGAGTTTCCACCTTTTCCAGTTCCAAATTTATAAACATTAGCGACAATAGCGGTAGTATGCACTAAAAACATCAACTTCTTTCTAAGGCAAAATCTGTTGTTTAAATGGGTATAGTAGACAAAAAAAAAAAAAAAATACAATCATAGCTGATAAGTTGGTGAAAAAATGAATGGGTAAAATTGGTGAATAGTAAAAAATTTTCAAAGATTTCAATTTATTCCACTCCACTTAACAGTTCCGTCTCAAGTCCTCCTCTTGACTCCCTTCCGCAACCTTAAATCCTGCAATTTTCCAATGTCCTTTCCAACGCAAAAATTATATTTTTTGAAAAGATTTAGTAATTTTTGGTTTTTTTTTTTTTCCTTTTTCTTTTGCTTTTGTTGATGACAACAAAATTTTTTCGTCTTTTTTATAGTTCAGTTTCTCCCATATTTAACAGCAGTGGTAATACAACTTTTTTTTTTTTTTTTTTT